GTATGTTCTCAGTATTTTGCTCTCTTCTTCTGGGAGTCCCATAATTCTGATGTTGGTTCATTTGAAATTGTCCCAGAAGTTTTTTACACTATCTTCAACTTTCTAGATTCTCTTATCTTCTTGCTTCTGTGGAGGACTGTCCTCTGGCTCTTTGTGTTCCAAATCTTTGACTTGATTCTTACGATCTTCCATTCTGTTTTTAGGACTCTGTATAATATTTTTTTTTATTCCAGACAATGTATTCTTTATTTCTAGTTGATACCTTTTGATATCCTTATATGTCTCATTTATTTTATTGGCCTTTTCTAGGAAATTCTTGAAAAACCTTATAAGCATGGTTTTGAACTCTATATCCAGTTGCTTCTTGTCCTCTATTTCTTTTTTTTGTGATCTGTTTCCTTGTCTAGGCATTTTCACAGCTTCCCTGAGTTGGTAGGGTGGCTTTGTGTGCTAAGGTGTCTCATATGGTTCAATGGGTCAGCCTCCCAGTTACCAGAGGTGGACAGTCTTGGTGTAGCCCTTTGTGGGCTGTGTGTACAGTCTTGTTGTTAAGCCTTGCTTGTTGTTGGTATCACTGGGAAGTGCTGATCTCCAAGCCAATTGGCTATGAGGATCAGAAGTGTCTCAGCTAGGAGGGTTTCTATATTCTGCTTGGATGGGGCTCAGTCTCGGGGTGGCACAGACAAGCTTTGTTGAATCCCGCAAGATTGGTTGCAGGCGCACGCACCTCTTTGGTATAGGGCAGACAAGCTTTGGATTCCTGTCTGTTCCTCCCTAGGAGAGTCCTATTCGTGGAGAAGGAGAAAGATAGCCACTGGAAGGGCTTCTGTGCTCCACTTGGATGGGGTGCAGTCTTGGGTGGTGCAGACAAACTTTGGTGAGCCCCACCCTACGAGGGTCTGGTTTCTGAGTCCTACAGTAATGGCCGCTGGCAGCACACACCTCCGAGAGATCCCTGCCCACTGCCCGACAGTCTGGCCTTTCCCTGTCTGGGGCCATCTATCAGCACAATAGGGTGCTTCTGTTTTCCTCCCGAACAAGAAAGCCAGCCACGCATTAGCTGTCCACCCTCTCCGTGCACAGGGAGTAAGCCAGTAACGAACACGGCCCTGCCCGCCCTCTCCGCGCTCCGCAAGCAAGCCAGCAGTGAAGTCTGGCGGCCGCCTTTTCCTGCACGCAGTTCTCCACACCTTCACAGTTCCTGAGGTTCAGCGTGCCTTCTCTCTCCTTCCCAGATGGCAGAGCCTCCTCTCAGCCAGCTGTCCGGTGCTTCAGGGCGATGTTTCCCCTCTTTTCCAGTTCTAAATTCAAATTTGTTGTGGTAGGCTGCATTCGGGTGTCTATCCTATGCCGCCATCTTGGCTTCTCCTGATAGGTTTATTCTTATCCTTATTAATTACCAGTTCTAAACCCTGGCTACACATTAGTATCAGTGCGCAGCAATTCTCAACCCTACATGTGCATTAGTATCTCTTGAGAAGTGCTTAAAATACTCCTTCCTGAGTTCACCCCAATCCAACTAAAATACAAGTGTGGGCCCAGAACTTGCTGCTTTTCCAATACTCCCAATGCAGTTCTTATCTGCACACAGAGCTGAGAAGCACTCACAGGAATGAAAAGATGCTGGCAGCCATGGAGAACCCTAGTAAGATTCAAATCATTGTATGAAATGATGTAAAATATATTAAGTGGCTAAGTATAAAATGACTTTAGCTTAAATAATATCTGGTTCCTGCTTTAAATCAAATTAAATTGGCCCACACCCACAACATGATTTCCAAAACACTGTCATATTTCATTTTAAAAAAATATATTTTATTGATTTTGTACAGAGAGGAAGGGAGAGAGATAGAGAGTTAGAAACATCGATGAGAGAGAGTCATCAATCAGCTGCCTCTTGCACACCCCCTACTGGGGATATGCCCTTGACCGGAATCGAACTGGGACCCTTCAGTCCCCAAGCCGACGCTCTATCCATTAAGCCAAACCGGTCTTGGCTATATTTCCTCATTTTATCAGGTGTCATGTTCTGCAATTGTTTTAGAATGCAAACTTTGGAGTCAAATAAGCTGAGTTCCAATCCTGACTCTTACACTTATAGAGTAATCTTAACCTCTCCAATTCTCATTTTCCTTATTTAAACACTAGAGGCCTAGTGCACAAAATATGTACACTTGTTGGGGGGGAGTCCCTTAGCCCAGCCTGCGCCCTCTCACAGTCTGGGAGCCCTCAGGGGATGTTCAACTGCTGCAGAGGTGAGAGAGGCTTCCACCACTGCCATTGCACTCGCCAGCCATGAGACTGGCTTCTGGCTGAGTGGTGCTCCCCCTCTGAGAGCACACTGAACACGAGGGGGCAGCTCCTATGTTGAGTGAGATTGGGCCAAAACCCAAGGGGTCCCGGATTGCAAGGGGCGCAGGCCAGGCCTAGGGACCCCATTGGTGCATGATTGGGACCAGAGAGGGATGTGGGAAGTTGGCCAGCCAGGGAAGGAGGACTCCAAGATGTGTCCAGACCATCTAGCCTAGTCCCAATCAGCCAGACCCCAGCAGAAAGCTAACCTACCTGTTGGAGTGTCTGCCCCCTGGTGATCAGTACACATCATAGTGAGTGGTTGAGCAGCCTTAGCATATACTTAGCATATTACACTTTGATTGGTTGCATGGATGACCAGACACTTAGCACATTAGGCTTTTATTACAATATATAGGATGGAATGTTACTACCAGCCTTAAAAAGGATTAAATGGGGTTCAGTTTCAATGGCAAGCAGTACTGATAATTGGTAAACCAACACAATGATAGAGAACTGGAACTAGCAATGACAACAGAGTTTTTATTTCCCCTTGCTCAATTTACAGACAAGGGGTCGAGATCCAGAGAAGCACTACTTCCAGATGACAGTTAAAAGCTGAGAGGAGTGGCCGAAGCCGGTTTGGTTCAGTGGTAGAGCGTAGGTCTGTATACTGAAAGGTCCCAGGTTCGATTCCTGTCAAAGGCATGTACATTGGTTGTGGGCACATCCCCGGTAGGGGGTGTGCAAGAGGCAGCTGGTCAATGTTTCTCTCTCATTGACATTTCTATCTCTCTATCTCTCTCCCTTCTTCTCTATAAAAAAATCAGTAAAATATATTTTAAAAAAAAAAGAAAAAAAAGAAAAGCTGAGTGAAGTGAAACTTCCTCAATAGGGAAAAACTGATTAAATAAGTCTGTTAGTTGCTCAGGTGAAAACATTATCTGATATATTTGCTGACTAAAATCCCCATGACTAAACTTGCAATTTCTTTATTAATTTTCACTTGGTAGAATATTAATAAGAAGTTTTATTTATTGCATTGAGTGGCTTTTGACACAGCAATCAGACATATACCTTTCCTGGAATATATTCTAAGGACAAAAAAAATCTGCAAAGAAATGCTGACCTTTACTTTGTAAGCTTGTTATTGGCTCTGGTACTGTTGCAGTTTTTCTGAAAGGATTTTGTAAGTATTCTAAGACAGAAAATGAGTACGTATATCTATGTTGTGGGGAACCAGGAAACTCATTGATACACAGAACTGATGATACAGATTGTTGGTTTCAAAATCCCATCATTAGTAAAAGGAACCAGTGCTGATTACAGGCTGAGGACAAGGAGGGTATAGATTGAGTCTGTTAAGTGCCAGAAAACAAAGACTAATGAAACCATGCTTAATTACCATCAATATCAAAATAATCTGCCACTATCTGACTCCAGCTATGACACAATTAAAATAAAAACAAAAAGCACAAAACATTACAATGGTAGTGCTTTCCCCAAAAATGTTAACCTGAATCTAATGATGCAAAATTATTAATAAAACAAGTCCTGAATAAAAAACACTCTACAAAATTAGTACAAACCCTTTAAAAATTTTATCATCATGGAAAAAAAAAAGAGATAGAGGCAGGCATTATAAAGAAGACTAAATAGTCATAACGTCCAATGCAATACATGGTGTGACCCTAACTGACTGTAATCTGAATGAGAAGGAATCCAGCTTTTCTAGAAATCTGGGATAATTAGAGAACTCTGAATGTTGACTAGCACATATTATTGAATAAATATTAAATTTCCTAGGTGTGATAAAGGAATTGAAGTGTCAGAAAATACTTATTTCTTAGAATATATATGGTAAAGTGTTTTTGAAAAAATATTTTAATAACATAACATTTAATTTTAAATCCTTATTTCTTATAAATCTTTTTAAAACCAAGCTCTGCATTCTGAAATAATTTTTTTCAGAAAAGTTGTAAAGATGATATTGAAAGTTCCGGTATACCTCTGACAATTTCCCCCCTAAATAATAGCATACACCATGGTACATTTGCTTTTTGTTTTTTCTTTTTTGTTTTTTTTACACATATATTTATTATTTCCATTCTTTGTTGTTGTTGTTAATCCTCACCCAAGGATATTTTTCCATTGATTTTTTTTTGAGACAGTGGAAGGGAGGGGGAGAGACAGATACATCAATTAGTTGCCTCCTACACAAGCTCCAACCAGGTCGGGGGATCAAGCTTACAACTGAGATATGTGCCCTTGATGCAATTTAATCTGTGACCCTTCAGTCTGCAGGCCGATGCTCTAACCACTCAGCAGACTGGTGAGGGTGAGATAAAAGAGAGAAATACATGTAAGAGAGGTATGTAATTAGTCTAACTGTAATAAATATAAAAAGCAGATTACTTAAAATACGAAGATGATGTCTTTAACGCAGGGACAGAAATGTTTGAAAGAGCATGGCCTTTTACCAAGAAGAATAGGTCGGCCTGTAGAGGGCATGTGTGAGAAGAATGAGCCCAGTCAGCGACTATGATCTTATATGTACCCCTTACACATCCAAAGCCCATCACAACACTATGTTATTAACAATTAATTTAATAAATCAGAGCTGCAAGCTGGGCTCCTGGAGGATGACTCTGAATGAAAAGAAGTCAAAATTGTGTGACCTCGGACCCACAGAGCTGATGGCAACTCACCCTTCCCAGCTCCTTGTCTTCCAGGGCCAGGACGCCAGTGCTCTCCGTGAAGAGCTTCACTTTGACCACGGGCCTGGGATGGGTGGTGGTGAAATCGCCTTGAGTTCCCCATCTGCAGAGAAGGAAAACAATTTCCTCTGAAATGCAGCATTATTCTGCCCCCCCCCCCCCCCCCCAGATAAATGTGCCTCCTTAGAAGACACATTAAGCATGACAAATCTTTGGCGGCTCAATGAGATTTTTATCTTTGCGTTTGTGTCTGACAGATGGCTCAATCAAGAAGGAAAATAACAATAAGCTTCACAGCTTGTAATAATTATTCAGCCGTTCCGAAAATTAGTACACAACAATACAAAACTAGTGTGTGATAAGAATTTAGGTGAAGGTACAGCAGAGCAGATGCAGCTATAAAAATCTAGTATTTGGTTAATCCAACACCATTATTTATGTATGTGGGGGCGGCAGGGGGAGGAAGGAGGGGTGTGAAGGGGGAAATGCTAAGGGCTTGTTCAGGTTAGAGGCTGTCTCCCAGAGAAGTGTTTTTGATAGTGAGGATTCTGCCCCATCTCTTTCTTGAGAAGTCTTGACTAGATATTTTTTTATATTTTAGAAAGTGAAGCTAATTATCTCAAGCCTATTACTTTACCTGATTTTTTTTAAAGCTCTGGACAGAGAGAAAGAAATAAGAAACAACACAAAAATGAGTGTTTTTCTGTTAATTTCCCAGCACAGTTTCCTGAGAACGGGATAAGTGTGCCAACAGCTGTCTTTTCAAATCATCATCATAAAAAAAAAAACACAAAAAAAAACTTGTTTTCTTGGCTTATCTTTTAATTAATAGCATTTCGTCTTCACCATACACCAATCCATTCTAGTATATTTACAAACTTAACTGGCACATAGCTGACATTAAAAAAAAAAAGTCTTATCAATAACTCTCAGAGATCACAGACATGAGGTTCGGTGCAGCATGAAGAAAATGCCATTGAGAAAAATATACATAAGAGAAAGAAAAAGTAAGATTTAACAAAGAAAGCTTTTGGTTAAAATAAGATATCTAAAAAAAAGTATCAATTGTGTTGTCTATATGGTTTAAAAAAAACAAATAATTTAACATTTTTATGGAACTACCTAACTTTATTTTATAAACCTTATTCAGAAAGCTAGAGAAACACAGAAAACTGAGTATAATAAAACTTTAACAAATAATTGCAATGACTTCCCTTCCAATGCAGTTATACCACAATATGTGTACAGTAAACCCAAGGCCATTTCAATGACTGAAAAAACTAGCATCCAGATACAGTTCAATGTTTTTCAACTAGCATCAGGTGCCAGAGGAAAGAGAGAGATTTCATTAGGATGGGAAAGCAGCTTAATTTCCACATTAGACTTCTCGAAAGGAGTTAGCAAAGATTCTTTTGCCATTTCACAGAATTAAGATGATCTGCAAAAAGTAGAGCTACATAGGAGTAAAAATAAATTTCTCAATTTAGTGTTTAGAATCTGAAGCCTTGAATATAGCCAGGCAATCTGGATGAAACTCGAGTAGATTCCCATGACATATCCTATGTCTTTGGTATTATGTGATGAAATTATATGTGTGTGTGTGTGTGTGTGTGTGTGTGTGTGTGTGTGTGTATATATATATATATATATATATATATATATATATATATATATATATATATTTCCAAAATGTGTGTGTGTGTGTGTCTGTGTGTTTGTGTGTGTGTGCACGCCCATGCTCGTTCACATCTTTCCATGAGTTCTTGAGGGGGAAAATGTACTCTCCACTGTGAGTACACTGTTGTATATATGGCCAGCCATGAGATCAGGCTTGTTAACTCTGCTGTTTCTCTCTCTACTTTATCCTTACTGATTTTTGGTGTCCTTTATATAGCAAGGTAGAACTATTACAATCTCCCATCAAGAGAGATTTTATTAATTTCCCTTTATACTTTTTTCAACTTTTGTTGTCTATTTGGTGATGTAAAAATGTTCAATAGCAACCATGTTCTTTGCATATGAACTGTTTTCCCTTTTCCAACCCCAGGGCCATGGTTATTTTTCAATAACTGGACCTGTGTAAAATTAAAGAACTAACACTATGCTAGGAAGGTTGAAATTAGAGTCATATGTCAGAGTTACAGACCAGCTTAGGGAAGTCACACAAATAACCTAATCAACACATTGCAAATATAGGCAGTAATTTACTAGAATTTATTAGGAGTTGGCTAAAATTTACAGAAAGTCGTCAGTAATGTAGGACCTGGAAGGGCATCCAGGATATCCATTCCACAAACCAATGTGCCAATGAAGGCAGGAAACAGGTGCATATCACAGGACCCAGGAGCTACTCTTAATAGTCTATCTACCTACAGGGTCTGGAACCTCTGAGTCAAGAGGATGCAATAAGAATGGCCAGTTCCAGTGGCGCAGGCCTCAGCCACATGCTTTCATGAGGAGATGTTAGGTACAGGTACTGGCAGATCCTAGCTGAATAGACTAAGCTTTTACTGACATTTGACAAAAATGTGCAGCTTTAAAGGGGCACATACACTGAGTGGCCAGATTATTATGATCTCTGAATTCACAATAATCTGACCACTCAGAGAGAGAGAGAGAGAGAGAGAGAGAAAGAGAGAGAGAGAGAGAGAGAGTGTGTGTGTATTTTAGAGATTTTAGTGGACCGGTGCATGAATTCGTGCCTGGGTGGAGTCTGGCCAGCCTGGCCAGGGGGACAGGACATGGGCAGTTGGCTGGCCTGCCTGCTGGTTGAACACCTGATCAAGGTGACAATTTGCATATTTGCCTTTTATTATATAGGATATACACTTAGTGGCCAGATTATTATGTGTTAGGAGATCATAATAATCTGACTACTCAGTGTAAATATAAATATAGTGGCAATTAACAGTCTATGTAAAAATTCCAGGCTATAAACTTAAACTGACACCACTTTGACATTTTCTCCTATGAAAAATAAAAGTTAAAATGTACAGTTGTAAAATGCTTGTGAATTCTATAATGAATGAGTTAAAAGGCGAAAGCCCTTTCTCCCTCCACCCCCCAAAAACAGCAAGGGAAGGAGGGAAGAAGATGACATGGCTATTTTCAGGATCCGCCACCATCTTTCCTTCTTTTCTACCTAATTGGCATGTTTACACATGTTTAGGAATTCATGCCAGCAATTATCTTCCTACTCTTTTCTCTGTATTATGTGATAAAAGAATACATTACCCTTGCTGTCAATTTTCTTTGACTCAAAATACAGTCGCCTTTCTCTAGTTCTATTTATGTCTTATTTATGAGGGTTCAGACTTCCACTATAAATCTTCAGATGAATAAAATATCTACTGAGTACCTTGATGAGGACAGCAGGACTTCCTGGCTATGACAACACAGGGTAGTTCATATGCCAACTGAAATAACTGATGCTAATTATGTGTTGGATTAAATAAAGTATACTGGGCATTTATATCAGGAGCCAAAATGTATGTTCATGTCTATTGATCCAGTAAGACCATATCTAGGAATTTATCCTAACAAAATAATCCCAAGTATTGAAAAGATGGTAAGCAGGAACATATTCATTGTAGCATTGTGTATAACAGCAAAAGCAAGCAACTCATAGTAAGGGAATGATAATGTAAATTATGTGGCATACAATGGAATATTTTGCTGCTACTTATGATGGCTATAAAGGGGATGTGAAACCATATGTGATGTAACATGAAAAAAATAAAGAGGGAACAAAGTTGGATGTGGACCTTTTGTTCTAAAAAAAAAAAAAAAAAAGCCGTTAATCTTGCCAGCAACCACAGTATCTATCGTCTTGGAACATATATTCTAATTCAAGATTAGATATGATAATTTTATTATTATACACAGTAATATACCTCCCACTCTGGCCTTGCATTCTATTTTGTTCCTGTTAGCAGTTCATTTTCTTTCATCACTGCTCCTTCACCAACATACATCCTATCTAGCAAACCTATCTAATAAAAAAGTAATATGCAAATTGACCATGCCTCACCTACACCGACCAGCCACGCCCACCAGCCACACCCACTAGCCAATCAGGAGCAAATATGCAAATAAAGCCAACCAAGATAGCTTTGGCCACAGAGAATAGGCGGGAGGTTTGGGTTTCCCCAGTAATGTAGAAAGCCAAGCTTTCTGCCTGTCCTTGCTGGCCCAGGCCTCTACTCGATGCTACAAAGTTTCAAATAAATTAGAAGATAAATAAATTCCACAAAAATGGTGGCAGCCATGGAGCTGGAGAGAATAGGAGGCTAGGGTTGCTCCCAGCGATGGAGGAAGCCAAGCTTTCCGCACACCCTAGCAGACCAGGCCTCTGCTTAAGGCTACAAAGTTTCAATTATAGAAGATAAATAAATGGCAACAGAAATGGCTACAGCCATGAAGCGAGCAGGAGTCTTGGCTCTGCTCCAGGCTACAAAGTTTCAATTGTAGAAGATAAATAAACCCCAGATACCAGGGCCTCCTCTTGAGTCGCCAGGGTGTGTGGCTGGTCTGCAAACCACTACAGGCACCTTACCCAGGCTGCCCCATGCCCCAGGGAACCCCCACCCTGATCCAGGACACCCTTCAGGGCAAACCAGTCGTCCCCCGCCCATGCACCAGGCCTCTATCCTATCTAATAAAAGAGTAATATGTAGCTTGACCATCACTTCAACACACAAGATGGCTGCCCCCATGTGGTCAAAGATCCTGCCCCTAGGTGGACACAAGATGGCCACCACAAGATGGCCAGCAGGGGAGGGCAGTTGGGAAATACCAGGCCTGCATAGGAGGGCAGTTGTGGGTGATCAGGCAAGCAAAGGAGGGCAGTTGGGGATGATCAACCCTGCAGGGGAGGGCAGTTAGGGGTGACCAGCCCAACAGAGGAGAGAAGTTGAGGGCAAACAGGCTGGCAGGGGAGTAGTTAGGATGTAATCAGGCTGGCAGGCAGAAGTGGTTAGGGGCAATCAGGCAGGGAGGCAGGTGAGCAGTTGGGAGCCAGCAGTCCTGGATTGTGAGAGGGATGTCTGACTGCCCATTTAGACCCAATCCCAGCTGGGCTGAGGGACACTCTCCCACCCCATG